TTTCCCGGTATTAGGTTTGTAGTGGCATTGGCTCCTAACCGCTCGGTCTTTGAAGACGAGCATATAATTGCTGAGATTTACATTCAATACATAGCATTTAGAGAAGGTCAAGAATGGTGAATGCTGGAACAGCTTTTCGGTATGGAATGGCTTGATATTGCAGGTGTGGTATTTTTGTGTAACTAATCCCCACTCAAAGTGAACACATTATTCTGTTCCCAAAGAAGATCTATTATTACGATACCGCTAGTCAGTATTGACGATGATGTGAATTCCACGTGAGATCTTGTAGATTAGGTGGTTATGTCGTGACGAATCTATTTTGACAGCCTTTGAGGTTTTGTTTACGAAACTCTCCGCATCCTCACAGTCCGCTTTGGCAACAGCCATGCAGACACCGCATTTCCTAAAATGTTTTGAAAGCTGCTGTAAACCACTCATTGGTTTCACTTTGTTTCTTGATTGAATAATCCACAACGTTTAAGCTTTGCTTATGTAGAGCCTGTTTAGCGTCGATATGATGCTCTGCATAGAATGTCGCAACTGAAATCGACAACCCACATTTTAAAAGTTTTCTTTACTTTGCCTCTTCTTTGCGTGCTTTTCGTTTTCCTTATGATCATGGTTAAATCTCTATCCTCGTCAACCGCTTTGGTATGGCGTTTCGCTCTGATGGCTTTACTTAAAAGTAAACCTGGACTTGTGATGATGACCACTGCTTCCTCAAGACCTGACAGCTGGTAGTCTCCTTCTACCTTTTTCTCTGAAGACATTTTTAAACTGTGTTTAGCGTCCAGTTACCTCAAGAATTAACAGGAACCTTGCAGGGCATCGTGCTTTGCATAACCGACGAGATAGTAGCTTGAAACACCTCTTATATGCCCAATGTTCACTTTCGCAATATCTTAATATAATTAAGACACGGATACGATTCTCCCTTTATGCCGTGGAATCGGAATAGCCCATCCACCAGATTGGAATGGAGCAGGTTAGACCGTAATCACATGGTGTAATAGTAATCATGATATTAATTGTAATAATAATGACTTTAAAGTCAGATGTGCACCACATGGAATATACAATTTGATATCATGGTAATCCACGACTAAATTATGGTGAGTTTGAGTATTAGAAATGAAGACGCTGATGGGGATGTAATCAGTGACACTCAAAATATTGTTGAACGCACTTTAATCAGCTTACGGGATTTTTTGTCTGTAAGTCTTCGCCTTTTGATCGTTAAACGCACATAGAATCTTTTATGTTTATTATCGTGCCTATATATAAGCTTCGCAAAGTGCGCACCAGTGAACCTATAAATGAAATATGTGGGTTGCTAATATTATTTTCGTATCTAGGATGAAGCAATTTTAAGATTGGCAACCATCTTATTAAAAGCACAGCAAACTCAGATGTCAGAGTAATAGCAATTTTCGTTCGTGTACAAGTGAAAATGTCTACATCTCTCTGATAGATTTCACGAAAGGCTGGAAAAGGAACGTCTGTGATTGCTTACCTGAAAGAAGGAGGGTGATGTATTGAAACTTCGGGCTACCAGCCGACAGCAAGTCTCTCAATTACTGCAAACGTTATGTAGTCCTAAACAAACGATAGTCTGTGTGACTACTTATCATCCATAAACTGTTCATCCCGACATCTCAGTCTCAAGAACGATCGCTACCTATGCTCTGTCATTTTTAAAACCGTATATAATCATATTTGACGAAGAATTGCATTTCATATCTGTATACTATTCTTTAAGGAATATATGGTTATATCGTGTTTGGATGTGTAGTGACTCACATTTATGACGAGAACACGACCGGTTTAATAAAAACAATTATTATTATAACCAACTGTACCAGTGTTGTTTTGATGTGCTTTTGTTTGACTGTTCTAATGACAGCTATTTTGTGCTTTTATTGATACACACACTTTTGATTGTGACTTCGCACGAATTCGGTTACGTTCTGTAACCAAGGTTGTATCCTGGCACGATCTCGGTATCCTTCAGATACCACGAGATCGCCAGCGAATATATATCTCGATTTGGTCCATTAATTGCCTTCTGATATTTGGCTTCTCAGAGATTTTATGGACTTATTTGGTTACGTACAACCTTCGCCTTCTGATTAACTTGGCACGTGTTTTTTGGTAGCGGTGTTCATAGTCAATCATGACTCGACTCCACGCTACAGATGTTTTAATTTACGTACTTTATGTATCTACAGGATCTATTCAAACCTCTACCTAATATCAAGAACTATATATAATCGTGTATGTTAAAGCACCGTACTCACTATTTTATGAATTATCATTTAAATAGTATTTGGATACTATAACTCATTTAATTTCCGAAATTACCTGTTTGATTCAGTGAGTCTGTCATAGTTTTTTTGATAGCATTTTTATCCAAAAAGCTGTTTCATATGTTTGTTCATAAAGCAACATAATGATCTTAGACAGTAATAGTCTTTGCATCTCTCAATTTTTACCAATGCGGACTTTCAGTTTATATATGTATCACGTACCGTTCTCACTCTGATTATTTGATACTAATTATCGACATTTCTAGATTACTTTATTATATAAAGCTATCTTTTGTGTAATATATATGTTAAAATTTACACAACGAGCTCCTTTGTGTTCCATTTTGCTTCCACACAGATACTGACATAAATATTTAATCTTTACTACTATCTTCCTGCCATTCTCATCTCTTGTTTTTGACACCACTAATCCTTACGACACATTCACTCTTGGTTAAAACATAGGTTTTGATTTCTAGACTAACTTGAGCCCTCGGAATTGATTTTTTTACCCATTTCTATCTCCAACATTTTGTTCAACCCATTTGTTATACGTTACTTTCTTATCGTGCTACAAAGAAAAATGAAGACCCGTGCTTCTAGGCGTCCAGCCAAACGTAGGAAAACGACACAATTTGACAGCACTACGGACACGATTTCCGACAGTTTCGACGAGAGGAGCCACTCCATTCATCCGGAAGCAGACAAACTTTTATCAGTTGTCTCCATTCCAGACATGATAATCGCAACTGCAACCATGTGGATGCTATAAAAAGTTGCAAGTAGACATGGACATTCTCAATCCGCCTAAATATCTCATCAACCCCAACCTCACAGAGATTTCAGATCAAACGAATGACATATATAATTTCCCAGATCGTGTTGCATCAGAGGTAGTTGAAAGAATAAGACGATCTAGCGATGCAATTGTGTTTAATATAACGGACACATATGCCCTTAAAAATACAGAATCTAGTTTGCTTAGAGCCAGCAGTATGACACACGTACCATGTGTATGCAAAAGATTAAAATGAAGTCATCCTGGTATGCACTCACCGATCTTGTTCAAATTCAACTCATCTGTAGACGCCAGTGAATTTTTAACACAGTCCAAACCCCTGTTAGTGCAACACCTAGTTACAGTAACTGTGCAACGAATAACAGGAAAACTAGTCATAACATTCATATAACTGACCACACACTTAACGTTGATATATTCGAATCTCGCAAACCATTGCAAGTATGTTCAACAGCACACGATCCTCTCCAAATTATGAACAAGCCGAAATTAATTACAAACCTTGGAGATAAACGTCTGGAACATGTTACCCATATGTCAGGTATAAATAGTAATCTGAATTGTAATTGGTCACTTTGTCGCACACATAGACCTGATAGCCTTCTCGGTCCGGCTCCCAGTGTGTACACTATGCCTTTATCAGATGTTATATCCAATAGCAATGAGAAGACTTTTTTTATAGTTCCGCCGGCTTTCCTACCGGCAACGGTAAACATATTTCACATGATGACAAAGTGGTTGAATCTATTTCCCCTCGCAACACAACTCTTACTTTAGCCAATCCTACGAGCATTCATGGAACTACCAATTGCGATTTATACTCTAACTTGCTTCACTATGATGACTCTGAGTTTCTTATTCTTTCGTTCAATGCCCGCTTTCTGTCCAATAAAATTATTCATCTTAAAACTATTTTACTCCTTGTAACTCCAACCATTGTACTTATGAAGGAAATGTGTTGGAATTCATCTATATCCGATCATTTCCTTGAATGTAGATAACTACGTTTTCTTTAGAACCGATAGATGTTATTGATTAGGAGGCGATACAATTATCTATGTCCGTTCAGACATTCAAGGTGCAAATTTGAGGATAAATCCCTTGATGCTATAGACGACTTCACTTGGGTTACTCTAAACTGTAGATATCAAAATTATTTACTGGTGGGATGCATATACAGACCACCCCATGCGGATACTAAGTTTGACAGATTACTAACAAACATCTCTTCCATTGATTCGCACCAACCACAAACTTTTAAAGTCATCGGAGGTGATTTTAATCTGCCAAACATTACATTGGGCTTGACTCCGGTACCAGGTCGATATAACAAGCTAGTTGAAACACTGGAAATTTGTGGATAGGTTCAACAGGTCCGAAAATCGACCAGGGGGAATAATATACTTGATTTATTGTTTACAATCAACATAGACTCTATCTCAGTGCATACCAGTCATGAGTTTTTTATGAGTGACCACAGAGTTGTATTGAGTATTATTCACTCTTTAAACGCCATACAATTGAACTCTAAAGCTTCAATGATGTACCAGAGCAGACAATATGATCAACAAACTTAGAAACGGACTGAAACTCTCATTCGATGTTTACCAAGGGAAATTTATTTCACCACAAATAATTTTCACATTGTGCTTTTCAATCTATACCACAACCTGATATATTGCCTTGACTACACTGCTCCAGTTATTGGCCGTGTAGCTTATAATGCTAATAAGGGCCAGAATACTTTCAAAACTTTTAAAAGAAAGTTAAGGAAATTAAAATGCCGCTACTACGAGCAGAATGATGTGTATGCACTTAAGAGTATACCTAAATTAATCGACAGAAATGCTTCATCTAAAGGTAAGTATTTTATGAATATAGGAAATAAAGCCTAACACAACCCTCAATGGCTGTTTTCGCTTTACCCTTACAATAATGTATCAAATAAAGCAAGCGTTGACCATCATCCTTGACCCTTGATTCCACATAGGTCTCAAACTCCCTTAAAAACTTCCAGTAACCTCTTGGTTGACCGTCGAAATAACTTAACCTTTGGTAACTCTGGACCTATGAAAAACGCTGTAGGCCTTACGCCTTTTGCTTGCTTCACGTCTAAATTAAGGTTTTCTATGCCATCTGCCATTATATCACAACTAGATTCACTATAATTACAATCGTCCCTATTAGAATATGAACCATGACACATAGAAGCATCAGAAGGCACTTGCCTTGATTGAGGGGATCCATCCTTTTGTTCATCTCTTTTAACATTCACGAGCCTTGGACTTAATTTCCTTCGACGATTGTTTGGCATCGGAAGCGAACGACCAGATATTCCCAGAGACGATGATTGGAATCAACGAAACGAAAGCCAAACGAATTCGACCAAATATTTGTTTAGAACTGTAAGATCCAAACTACGTTTGGACTGCTGGACAGCTGTCTGGATGAGTTAGATACGCGCCCTCGCCCGATTGAAACCAAAACAAAGGAATTGGGTAAGATAGCGGTTCTATAATTTATCATAAATTTAAGTGTACATTATTACCTAAACAAATATAACCACTCAGCTATCCAACCAATAATTGTTCAATTGATCAAATCTAATTACAATAAATAAGAAAGTTGATAAAGGATGCAAGAAATTTACCAATCACAACAAATCAACGTTATTCTATCCTGGCTGGATAGATCACACACAACAGGAGGAACAAATCAATATGGCTACCGCCAAGAACAAGTGTCAAGTAAAACAACACAGATGCAGTTCAGGAAGAAACACAAACTTAGTGAATGCGTAAGAAAACAAAAACTATAATAAAAAATACAAGTATTAACAACTCAAATGTAATCAAAATACAACAATGTACAACTAAGGGAATCAATAGGAACAAAGTACAAGTATATACATGGAGGGATTTTCACAAACACACAAAACATTCAAAATGGATCTTACACATACTGAATTTATATACCAGTCAAACAGACCATAACGTACTGAAGATGGCACAGGTATTCAGTTTTTGATTGAGATCATGAACCGATTGATGTTAGACCACCACGATTGAAAACCTGGAAGACGTGGACGGCCATTTCGTCCTATTGTGAGGCTCCTCAGTAGTGCGCACCCACGATCCCGCTCGCGGGATTCGAACCCAGGGCCTTCGCTCTCGCGTGCGAACGCTTAACCAACTGGACCACTGAGCCGGCATCCGATGGTGATAGTTTCTAACATCAACCAATTCACGAAATTGCGCGACCAACTTCCGTTGTACTGAGGTAGATACCTGTCTCTACCCAACAAGGATTAGCTCCACTGGTCACGTCTCACTAGAACTCCGAGAATTCCCTCACGAAGCTAGTCACTAGTGGGCACATGCTGATTGATAGTACAGCTTTTCAATTGTGGTGGTCTAACATCAATCGATTCATGATCCCAATCAGAAACTTAATAATCTCCACAACCCCTATACAGGTATTCAGTGTTTGACAACGCTTTTACCAGCAACACCTGATATAATTCGTACCCACCAAGCGAAATCAAAAGACAGAGTCGAGGAGATCGGAAGAATGTATTTAGCGATAACCAATATATCGGAATTCTCTTATCTAATCTGGCTAGCGATTGCGGTAGATGTTGAGCACAGCGTTACCACGCGTGATCTGGTGCGGGTGCATGACCGAGCGCAGTCAGCTAGATGAGTCCACTAAAACATATGCTCAGCACCCAATGTTGAAAACTTACAGAGCTATTTATTTTGGGGATTTATTTACCGCCACAGTACCAATAAGATATGAAACAACATTATTACAAGAATTAACCAGATGTGGCTGTAAATGGGGGAGGTAGTAATTAATATGCTGGGTATAACTCAAGAATGGTAAAACGTATAATAATAGTTTATGGGTCAAAACAAAGCTCATAATAAGAGGGACATCAATATGAATAGTTTAGTTATTTAGCAATTATACGGTAAAAATATACGCTTAGTATTGGTCCATAAAAGGGTCCCAAAGTTACAAATCATTATGTTTATCGGGACATAACAAACTGTGATGACAATTATAATTCAGTAACATACAATCAGGCGGACTATGCATCCCCCATAAACTAAACTAAATGTGATTTGATTTCGCCTGTAAATTGATTTGCCTCATGTAACTTCTGATTATTGAGAATAAATTACTAACACTATCACTATTACCGCTATTTATAATAAAGATTCTACAACACTATTAGTGTGATAGAATCATATTACAGATTACTGATAACAGAACGAAATATCTCGTGAACATTTAAGACCGATGCTAGTGTTTTTGGTGTTTGCAAACACCACTATCCGAATGCTGCGTTTTATTCACTGTAGTCATATATCGATTTTCTTCGCGGAACATTTCTATCTCTGGATAAGGAGCTTATGGGGCTAGTGAAACGTCCCTTAGCTCTAGACAAATTGACAAGTAGTTGAGTCACTAAATGTCAAACAGTTAGTCTACACTCGTCACGGTAAAGGACAACCAATGCGTATCAGTTAATCGCACTGTATGTTCTGGCCCATGATCTTAAGATCATGGCTCACTATCACCCAAAGAACATTGCAAGGCCAGATTTATGGCGCTTGTTATTTCCTGGTGCTGTGCCTATTCGCCTTTGTATTCTAAGTGAGAGAGAAGAAACACTTAGCCACGTTGATAGGCAGGTAGCGATGAACGAATTCCCAAAAGTAGTTCTGTGTGTTCGTGACATTGAATTCGACCTCGTCAGTTTCACTGGACACACACAACTTCAGACTCTTGGTCACGTATCCGCACCAGATCACAAGTTAGTACGCTATACTATGCATCTCTTGAAACGGTTTATCAGTTCAGATCGAACGTTTCTCGACATATATATGTATATGTAGATATATGTTTGAATTATCTGATGTCTGGCTTCTGATATGATTGGGTTGGCATGCTTTGATTAAAAAGGTGCTAGGGGTAAAGGCGTTGTCAAACTCCGAATACCTGTGCCATCTTTAGACATCCGCCGTTTCTAAACTAGCTAAGCAAAATGTGTAAATCTGACTGAAGTGCATATGGATCTGTCTACCGTTAATTCTGGTCAACTTTCTACATCATCAGAGTAGGGCAGCATCAGAAACACATCTATACTTGACAGTTCATTTCCATGCACTATGAAAAGTAAAAGTTTGGAACATAACGTCGGGGTACTCCACTAAGTGCTGGTTTCAAGGAAGAGCATTCGGAGTTTGTACTTACATTCTGTCCACGACCACAGGTCTGGCAACTCTTGAATTTTCAGCTTTAAGAGGAGTCTATTATTCAGCGTCTTATCAAATGGTTCACTGAAGTCTAAATCAACAACACCCACCGATTCATTGTTACATAGAGAATCTTTCCATTTTTCTCTCGTTCAATAAATCCTTTCATGAAACCATGTTGTTTGTTTTCTAACAAGTTGTCGATTTACATGAATACCGTTGTAGCCATTTTGGTTATCCTTTCTAGTTATTCATTTACGACACTAAAGAGGCTGACAGGTCCGTAGTTAGGTTGGCGTCGTCTCAATCCTGTCCCATGAATTAGAGTGAGAATTTTATCATCCCAATCCATGGAATACCAACTTTAGCGTGGTGACATATTGGATATCATGGTCAGTGGTGCGGTAATGCGATTCATCTCAAGATGTTGGAGTGACGTCTATCCATTCCTGTTGATTTTTCCGTGTCTAAAATATGAATGGACTTTAGTTAGTTATCTCGGTCAAAGTTCACAGTAAGCAGCTGGTTCTGGGACTCTATTTGTGTCTATTCTTATGTCTTGGGGAATCTTCCGAAAGAATCCAGTGGTGAGTTTTTGTCTTGTCATATGTGTGCGAGATCGGTCTTTTCACTTACTTGATCACGGATTGTGCCTATTGCTTCTTATATTTTCGCCGATCTTCCCTGGTCGGGCTTATAAACTAACGCTTTATCCATGGATGGGTGTGCTTTATCTTTTTTGTGACTGTTCAGGGCATGAAAAGTTTTGTTACTTGACTGTATAGCTACTGGCAATAAATTCGTGCCCCCCTTACTGATGCATATGAGTCAGTTTTCCAGGTTTCTGTCGAGGCTATGGAGTTGAGTGCCTTCATGCTTTTTTCTTATGTTAAAAGGGGCCGGATAATTTTTTTGACAGAACATATCATTCATGAGTTGGAATATGATAAATGCGTGATTTCTTCTCCCTATCAGTAGAAGGAATTTCATTTAGTTGACATCATCACTGTGTGTGTGAAGATTAAGTCCAAGAGAGACGAGTACTTTTGTACGTCATATCTACTTATTCTTCTCAAACCAAAATTTCACGCTGTTATTTATTCACTTATTAATACTGACTATTTTTGCATGATAGTATGGGTATTAACTGTTCACTCTATTCATTACGTGTATATAACTTGTTTTTGTTCGACCATAACTATCAAATCACACTCGGTGGAAAGAAGTTGGCTCACTCGTCTCCAATGCATGTCATATCGTTTCTCTTTGCTCTTTACTATTCACTTTGCTTCGCTTCCCTGATTATCTTTTCAGATCAATGAGTGTACAAAACATATGTATTCAAACTTCATTGTCGTATTTGACTTGTTTAATTCCGTTATCTATTGGCGCAATTTAAGTTAATGAAAATATGCGGGGGTCAGTGGCATGCATATTTCGGTAATAAATCGCATAGATTGAGCTGGGATCAGATATAGGCCCTCGAAAGTAGTGAGCCCGTCGATAGCGAATGTCACACGGTCCAATTGGAGTCAGATACGGTAGGGCCATTAAAGTATTTAGCTTACTATGTATGTATCCTTCGTCCTGTTGATAGAAAAAAAGACTAGTAGCGAAAAGGCTTTGAGTTTAGCTCGTGAGTGGCACATAGCGGAGCGCGAGGTTGCCTGTTCAAACGCACAAGGTTCTTCAACATTCAGTATAAGATAATAGGAAATACAATTCCTATAAAAAATAAAGAAGTGAATGAATGATTGAGTTTTATTGTTTTGATATGCATTTAGATGTTTCTGATCAACTCCTAACTAATCAACTTAAGTTGTTACAATCTCTATCGCGGATCTAACGCAGCAAACTATGTTGATGAAGAGCCTCCAAAACTTTCAACGAATGAACGCAACGTAGCTCACGCAGTTGACGACCTCATCGATAATATCATCATAACACTAATGAAGTTGTAAGCCCGACCTCGAACTGGACACTCCCTACAAATCTATGTCGGCGGTAAGCATCTCGGTCTCCACGCGTCCGATAAACGATCTAAGTGGCTGACTTAAATGAAAAACAAATTAAACGAATCGCTCACTTATCCGATTGACTCAGCGAGGCCGGTACTCCCGGGATATAGGCATGCTCAAGTCGTATTATCTCATCGGTACTTTATCTTCGAGTCAACTCTTCTCATTGACATATCCGGTGGACCATTCTATTCTGATCATAATAATTATCATATTCTCGACAGCTCGTATGGTCATAGTGGTTTTCATGCGCAGGATAACCTCACCACTCCATACGATTTAATCACTCAGTCCTGCAAATTAAAAAAAACTTAACGATCGAATTTCACTATAATGCACTTGTGTTTTTGAGGTCGCGATAACACTAGAGATTCCCGAATCCACCACGTTTTTTCACTCCTCAGTTTCGCCGAGAAAGGTTCAAGCCTTGACGATCATTGTGCTCTGAGTTTTTTCAACACGAAAACTCACATATATACTGTTCCCCTTCCCGACGGCGTTCATTTATTTCTGCTACTCCCGAT